GAGCCGAAGGCAGACGCTTAACGACTGAGCCACCCAGGCGCCCCCAGACTTCATTCCTTTTTAAGGCTGAATAATATTCCATTGGGTGGTTCTACCACATTCTGTTTATAGCCTGGTTTTTATTACCAGTTGCCATGCATTGGCAATTCTCAACAGTGCCAACTGTGAAATACTCCCTAGCAGGCCAGACTGCCTTTCCTCCTCGCACTTGGGATGCAATTCGCTGTTTAGAAAGGTTTCGCGAGAGGAGATGGGAGAGGGCTGTGCGTCTTATATGAGAACATTTTCTGAAGTTCCTTTAAAGGAACTTTAGGTTAATTTCTGTTTGTTAAAATTTCTTCTCCGGTAGCTTGTCTATTATTTCTCGTCATCTTCTGACTGCCCTTTATATAAACATGAATGCATTAAAAACTGTTTCTTTTGGTTACCAAGAACAGTTAGCAGCCTCATTTTATTTTTATTTTTTTTTAAGATTTTATTTATTTATTTGAGTGAGAGAGCGCGCATGCACAAGCAGGGGCAGAGGCAGAGGGAGGCAGAGGGAGAAGCAGGCTCCCTGCAGACTCAATCCCAGGACCCTGAGATCATGACCTGAGCTGAAGGCAGACGCTTAACCGACTGAGCCACCCAGGCACCCCAGCAGCCTCATTTTAAAAACTGGTTTGGGTGTAGAAAGGAGGTATACAGAGCGAAGATGAATATGTATAAGATCTTTATAGTGATGCTTGGACTAGCCCCTTGCTGGTGAGAAGGACCAGGCGCATACGTAACCTTCAGGCCTCAGACCTCGGGAGGATTGATTTGCTGTCCCAGATGGAGATGCCGTTAGAGAATGGGATGCACTTTGAGCAGCACTGAAATAGAATCAGCTCCTCATACTTTGGAAAGAGATGGTGAAACTGGATTACATGTATGAAAAATGACCACATGTATCTACAACAGCGTGTCTTCTCTCTCTCAGTTTGGTGTGATTTTTGCTGGTGCGCAGAAGAACGTGGGCTCTGCTGGGGTCACGGTAGTGATCGTCCGCGATGACCTGCTGGGGTTCGCACTCCAAGAGTGCCCCTCGATCCTGGAATACAAAGTACAGGCTGGGAACAGCTCCTTGTACAACACGCCTCCATGCTTCAGGTGAACTCCGGGGGGCAGGGCTCGGGGGACTGCCGGAGGGGTTCTCACCGTTTCCCATCAAAACAGAGGGAGGTAGCTTTTTAACGTAGAGCGTGTTTTCATGAACAGTGACCTCATAGCTCAGACATCCTATCAGGATTCTCTGCCCAGCTCGTCTCTCCCTGTTAACCTTCTGTGCACTGTTAGATCAGTTTCTCTTGCCCTTTCTTTTTGGGGTGGTGTTTTTGTTTGATCTCGATAGTCTTAGTGGTTCACCATTAACCCAAAAGCTCTCTGCAAATGAAGTGGCAGGCTTGTATCTCAAACAACCTGTGAAGCTTTGGAAAAGGACTTTGAAAGGCCAGGCCTCCCCCAGCTTTCTTTTCTTGCCCTGCTGGGCCTGCCCAAAGCTGGCCACATGGCAGCGAACATCCTGGCTTGGAAAAAAACACCCTTCTGGTTTTTCACCCAATCTGCAGGTGTCCTGTAAGCTTGGCTTCCCGTTAGCCAAGTGAGAAAAGGGTGTTGGAGCACATTCAGGGAGAGCCAGGCTTTCCTGCCCCCCATGATCTTTTAACAGCTGGTCTCAGATATTTTGTGAAAATCTTGTGACACCTAGAATTTAACAGTTGCCTGGGAGATTGTAGGATTGTAGTGCTTGCTGGCTGTGTGACCTTGGGCAAGTCACTTAACCTCTCTGTGCAGCAAATTCCTCCAGGAGTTTGCCGACTGGGTTGCCGGGAGGAGATATATAGATGAAGCACACTTCGTGGTTGGCACTTGGTGATTTATAAATGTTAGCTGCTGTATTATTATTGTTGTTTCTCTTGGTGTTAGTTCCCAGAGCCTTAGCAGGGGAGGGAAGAACTGGAGTTTATGGATTTCTCTTTCAGGGCAGGTATGGTGTCGAATGGTGATACTTTATGTGTATGATCCTTTTAATCCTCCCAGGCACCCTAGGAGGTAGATACTCTTCATTCCCATTTTGCAAGCAAAGAACCAGAGGCCATACTTCTAGGACGTGGCATAGCTGGGATTTGAACCCAGGTAGCCTGGCTCCAGAGCCGGGGCATGTACACCCCGTACCTTCATGCTCGTATTATCAGTATGCATTTATTTGTGCCTGAAGGATTCCGTCTTGGGAGAATAAGTCACTGTTAGAGTCTAGCTCTTCCACTCATGGATTTTTCTGTGGCGGGCGGAAGGGTGGGCTTGGGCTGGGGCAGGCAGCAGTTCCTTCGGGGTTTGGACTTTGTCAGAGCTCTCCCCCACGGGGCTGCCTGTAGAAAAATCCCCCACCTACTTTGCTACAGGAAAGAAAGGTGTTGTTTTTCAAATTAGAATTCCGGTGGAATTCTAAATGGGGACTGTAGCAGCACATTTGTGTCCTCCTGCTTTCCTCAGGGAATGGGGTGTACTGGTGCTTATTCTCCTGTCACCTATAAACCCCACTCTGTTTCATCCTGGTGGAAAGGGTTTCTGAAATGCCGTTAAGGGTGGGGGCCGTGGGGCTGGATCTCTCACCCACCTGTCCTATCTCTGGGGTTCCAGGCAGTGAAACAACCAGTGGTCACTGGCCAAGTTGGACACGAGAACTGGGTGTGCTGAGCAGTGAGGCCACAGGTGCAGGGACCCTGGGGAAGGGGCTCAGGTGCCAGGCTGCGCAGTGACAGGAGGTGTTTGTCACCCCCCGCCGGGGCCAGGGCCTAGCTCACAGTCAGGTGAGTCTTTCAGGGCGAGGCAGAGGCCACCATGGGCTCTAGGAGGAGGCAGGGAGAACATTGTCCCTGAAATGTGGCTTGAAAGCTGGCAAGTTCAGATGAGAGCACCGCCCAGAGGAGCCAGGAGAGGGCACACACCTTCTGGCACCTTCTGTGGTAACTAAGAGTTGCAAAAGGCAATGAATATGTTAAAATGCTGTTTGTTGATATTAGGGTGAAAAGTCAGTGAGAAAGCAGGTCAGTCTGTCTAATAAATATGACAAAATGGCAAGAGATAACAATGTCTGGAGTCAGACCTAGGCACACAGAGAGGAAGGGCTCCTTTCAGTGACTCTCGTGTAGGGGCAGTTCCCCTCGCAGGCATTGGCCCCAGGCCTTGACCAGTCGGGTCAGCTGGTCCTTTGGGGGAGGGTGGTGTGGTGGGGGATGGGGGAGGGCAGATATTGCCTCCCCAGAGCTTTCCTGCCTGCTAGGGTGGTGGGGGGGGGCTGCTGAGCCAGAATCAAGAACAGAAAAGGGGCACACCTTTTCCCCCAGGCAGATCAGAATAGTGTTAACTGAGACCATCCCAGGGCAGGATTGTGAATATTGATTCGAATGGTGTAAATGTAGCAGATAAAAGAGACTGGGTTAAATGTGTTCTGACCACGACACCCCCTGGAAGTTGCTTTGCTTTCTTTTACCTTGAAAGAAAAGTACAAGTGTGTACAATGGAGCAATTACCCTAAATCTATGATTTGAAAAACTTCAGAGTTCATTCGTGGTACTTAAATAGTCAAGATTAGCAAATTACAGTAAGAATAAGCTCCAAGTTAGAGGGGAAGATCTGTGCCAAATCCCCTCCCTAGTCCTTGAAGGTAAGCCAACAAGGCACCCAGAAGGCTTCTGAACTTTGTATCACACGGAAGTCCTTGGAAAGGCCCCACATTTGAAAAGAAGCCTTTACTTACTTATTTATTTATTTATCTTTTAAAATCAGAGCTGGGGGTGCCTGGGTGGCTCAGTCATTAAGCGTCTGCCTTCGGCTCAGGTCATGATCTCAGGGTCCTGGGATCGAGCCCTACATCAGGCTCCCTGCTCGGCGGGAAGCCTGCTTCTCCCTCTCCCACTCTCTCTGCTTGTGTTCCCTCTCTCGCTGTGTCTCTCTGTCAAATAAATAAAATATTAAAAAAATAAATAAATAAATAAAATAAAATCAGAGCTGAATGACCACAGGCTCTGGGCATTTTGTGTGAACTGGGCTGGGTAACTGGCCTTCACATAGTCGACTGTAGCCCTGAACAGTGAATTGGGGTGGAATAAAGGATCACGTGGTTATTCTGTTTTCACCCTTTAGTAGATCACACTGGACCCAACGAATGAACAGGTAAAAAGATGCCTAAGCTTCCCTTCTGTTCCCACAAAACAGTTTTTATTTACCTCGACTAACGGAACCTGTGAGTATAAATTTGTTTTTGTTGTAGTATGAGGGAAAGTAACCTAAGAAGAAACAAAATAACCCCATCCATCAGGGCCACCTTTCTCAGCAGAGTAGGACTGTGGGCCTGCCCAGGGCCTTAGCCTCACTCACCATGAACCCCAGAGGCAGATGTACTTCTGCAGTTAGAATCTTCAGAACAAACAGCCAGGGAGAGTTTTTCCAAGGACTTTCTAGTGTACTTTTCTTTCTTTTTTTTATTTGAGAGAGAGCGTGCCCGCTTGCGGAAGTGTGTGAATGGGGGAGGGGCAGAGGCAGAGGGGAAGCATGGGGCTCAATCTCACATCCCCAAGATCATGACCTGAGCCGAAACTAAGGGTCGGACGCTTCACCGACTGAGCCACTCGGGCGCCCCTCTGGTCTCCTTTTGTAAGCCTCAGCACACAGAATACTTTGTATTGCTTTAAAAAATTAACATGTGTGTTTTTTTTTTTTTAAAGATTTTATTTATTTGACAGAGAAAGACAAAGTGAGAGAAGGAACACAAGCAGGGGGAGTGGGAGGAGAAGCCGCCTCCCACTAAGTAGGGAGCCCGACGCGGGGCTTGATCCCAGGACCCTGGGATCATGACCTGAGCCGAAGGCAGACGCTTAACGACTGAGCCATCCAGGCGCCCCCCAAAATTAACATGTGTTCTTAGCAAAGGTTTCTTTTTTTTTTTTAAAGATTTTATTTATTTATTTGACAGAGAGAGACACAGTGAGAGAGGGAACACAAGCAGGGGGAGAGGGAGAGGGAGAAGCAGGCCTCCCGCCGAGCAGGGAGCCCGACGCGGGGCTCGATCCCAGGACCCTGGGATCATGACCTGAGCCGAAGGCAGACGCTTAACGACTGAGCCATCCAGGCGCCCCCCAAAATTAACATGTGTTCTTAGCAAAGGTTTCTTTTTTTTTTTTAAAGATTTTATTTATTTATTTGACAGAGAGAGACACAGTGAGAGAGGGAACACAAGCAGGGGGAGAGGGAGAGGGAGAAGCAGGCCTCCCGCTGAGCAGGGAGCCCGACGCGGGGCTTGATCCCAGGACCCTGGGATCACGACCTGAGCCGAAGGCAGACGCTTAACGACTGAGCCACGCAAGCGCCCCTTAGCAAAGGTTTCTGAAGTGAGCAGAAACTGCTGGGGTAACCGCTCTTAACTGCTGTGTTAACTGCTGTGTGTCCCGGGCATGTGCAAGTATACAGAGCCATAGATTATGCAAGTGGAACTTTACCATATAGACTGTTCTGTGAATTTCTTTTTTCTCCCCGGCAATATGCCACATACACTATACTCTGCCTTGTCAGCTCAAATGTCTGCCTTTTTTTTTTTCCCTTTGAATTGCTGTAAGGTATTCCACAGAATGGATCTACTGTGATTTATTTAGTTACTTACTAATAGGCCGGCTTTAGATGGTAAACTTGCTGTGTGATGCAGGTGGCCTTTTAGGAGTGAAGGCAGCAATCAGGCATGTTCCATTGGTTAGTGGGGAGAATTGAGACTAAGTTGCAGAGCTGCATAAGCATCCAGGTCCCCTGTATTTTTTTTTGTTAAGATTTTATTTATTTATTTGACAGAGACACAGTGAGAGAGGGAACACAAGCAGGGGGAGTAGAGAGGGAGAAGCAGACCTCCCGCTGAGCTGGGAGACCGATGCGGGGCTCGATCCCAGGACCCCGGGATCATGACCTGAGCCGAAGGCTGACGCTGAAGGACTGAGCCACCCAGGCGCCATGAGGTCCCCTGTATTTTGAAGAGTTTGGATTGTATGGGGGTAGAATGAGAAGCCACAGGGAGAACCTGCTTCCTTGCGAGGGGTCTGCCTCTTGCTGAGGCTTCCCAGCCGAGGCTCCCGGTGCGCGCTCTGGGCAGTGCGTAGAGTGGGAGGGCTTTCTGCTGACCGGCTGCTCAGATCGCCTTAAGCTCGGCAGGGCGCCTGGGCTGTGAGTCTGAGCGTGACAGCCACGGAGAGGGCAGTGTGTGGGTGCTGAGGACGGGCTGGGATTGTGGACCTGCTCTGGGCCTTGCTGCGGCCTTGGATTTGAGTAGTGAGAAAGCACTACTTTCCACTACTTAGGGAACTCCAGGGTCACAGAGCTATGGGTAGAAGCAAAATGTGGCCTCTGAAGAGTACTGTCAGTGAATGGGCACCAAGTGGCTCTGCTTGGATCATGGGGCAGGGTTCGTGGGGGAGCGAGCAGTTTGGGGTCAGATGGGAATTCGAGAGCATTTACTGAACAGAGGGGTGGGCGGGCGGCGTCCTGTCTGGAACACACATCTACACGCGTGTGCTGTGAATCTGTTGTAGCCCCTGCACTTGGCAGCTGTGTCTGTGAGGTTTGGTGCCAGCCTGGCTGCCCCACGAGCAGGGGAGGTAGTGGTGGAGGGTCCCGGAGCCCCTCCTAAACCAGATGCCTTGGTGACTGAAAAGAGCTTGGGCTTTGGAGTCACACCAAAGTCGACTTTGGGGTTGTAATCTTGGCTTTATCAGCCACTTAATGGATGACATTAGCCAAATTCAGCTCCCCAAACCTCATTTTCCTCATCTGTAAAATGGGCTGATGGTACCTCTGACCTCAGGATTATTGTGATCAATAAAAGGGAGAACAGTTAGCCGGATGCCTGGCCCCATAATAGATGGTAGGAAATACTCCTGCCTCTTTCTTCTTTCTCTTTGTGCCTCTGATTTCTCAGTCTTTTAAAAAGATTTTATTTATTTATTTGACAGAGAGAGACACAGCGAGAGAGGGAACACAAGCAGGGGGAGCGGGAGAGGGAGAAGCAGGCTTCCTGCGGAGCAG